AGAGAGAGAGAGAGAGAGAGAGAGAGAGAGAGAGAGAGAGAGAGAGAGAGAGAGAGAGCTGCCTTTCTTATTGGCGGGTGCAGCAGAATGGATTCCAGTCAGACGCACGCCTTGTCATCAGTCGCCTTTAGTAGGCAATCTGCGTGACCATGAGACCAACCATGGATGGCCTGCAGGAAACTGTTTTTCAGGACCAACAGATGTTGACGACGATGCAGATGAAGGTGAAGCGTGTGAAGATGAGGACGACGGTGACGATGACGGGGATGACGGCTTCAGACAATGCGCACGTCGACGGAGACAGTGCACAACAGTCCTGGCAATGCCAGACCTTGGACGAACGGAAGGGCGGTTGTCGTCGACTCGTCGTGACAAACACAAGGGCACAGACAATGCTGTGAAAACCAAAAAACAAAACGTTTCTTGGACATTGGAGGAAAGGGTCACCCTGGCAAAGTTGATGGTAGAGGATGATGCCCTCATGGCTGACGTGGAGGGTCAACATCAGTTCATGAAGAAGAAGCAGTACGCCTCGCTGCACGGCAGGATGAAAGACAATGGATTCCGGCACAGGACAGCGGAGGATTGCCAGAACAAATGGACAAACATGTTGAGCAAGGCAAAGCTGATTCTCGACAGGTGTGAGAATGTGTTTGGCATGCCTTCATACTTTGACTTGCCGGTGGAGAAGGGGAAGGAGTTGGAGGTGCCTCTCGCCTTTGAGAAACCGCTTTGGGAGGTGATGCAGTGGAAGTTGAATAGACCGTCCATGACCCGTGATAAGACATTGGCGTCCGAGGATCTAACCGGAGGATGTGAGGAGGCATCTCAAAATGACGCTCTTGAGAATCGTGGTTCTGAGAGAAGCGGTTCAAACGGCAGATTGATGGACAATTCCGAGGGTGCATTCAAGAGACGGAGAACGAACAGCGGCAAGGCAAGAGTGGAGGACATGAATTGTCCAGCGTCGCCGTTGGGGAGGGGTGATGGAGGATTCGACGAGGGCGTATTGCGACGGTCTTGACAAGGCCGCCTACACTTTGGCGAAGGTGACATCGGAAGCCGACACGGTGATCGCGGGAAAAATAGGTGACGTTGCAGATGCCATGAGTGGGGGGAACACTCTACTTGAGATGCTTGTCAGAGTTCTCGCCAGATGGGGAGGGGGGGGGAGCTACGGTGGTGACGGGGGGGAGTTGCAGACCCGTCCTCGCGTTGATATAAATATGCATATGTCCAGGGTTGCCAGGCCGAACGTACACAGGCCGCTAAGTTGACCCCCGTACGTTTGGGCGTTTGGGTCCCCGTACGGGGCCCAGACCTGAAGGGGTTCGGACCCCGCAAAAAACAAATTTGGAACCTAAATATTATTATTTGTTTCTGCATTTTTTTTTGTAAATTATTTGTGATCCGAGGTATCTCTCTCGAAATTTTGAATACATTCTGTTAAGCCAAAAACAAATGAAAAATCGGCAAAGATGGTGGTGTCAAAACTTGCTTGCCCACTCACTAATTTGTTTTTTTTCTCTTTTCACTTTATGTTTTTCCTTTATTTCGGGGCATGAAAAAAAATATTATTTTTTATAACTTTATTTGTAGATTCTCTATTATGTATGATACAAATATAAATTTTTTCATGGCATTTGTCATAGCTAAAAAAATAAGAGAAATCGGCAAAGATGGCGGTGTCCAAAACGTGCTGGCCCACTCAATAGTTTCATTCTCGTTTATTTTTTTCTAATTTTCATTATTATCATTTATTTTCAGTACTTGATTTTTCCTTCAAATTTGGTAAAGAATTTGAATGTAATATTGAGGCAAATGTTGTTTCGTTTATTTTTCTTCATAACATATATATTTTTTATATTTTTTGAAATT